CCTCTTAGCAAGTTAGCAAAAATGTTTTAAATCACCTCCTTAAAACACTTACAGAGGAGTATAAGTTGTTACAAACTTTTTGGAAAATAATTTTGCAATACAAATCAAAAGACTTAAAATTGGGGCACCTGGGTGGCTCAGTCATTAAGTGCCTGCTTTTGGCTCAGCTTATGATCCCAGAGTCCTGGGATTGAGCCCCATATTGGGCTCCTTGTTCAGCAGGGAGTCTGCTTCTCCCTCTCCCACTCACCCTGCTTGTGTTCCCTCTCTTGCTGGGTCACTCTCCATCAAATAAATAAACAAAATCTTAAAAAAAAAAAACAACCTTAAAACTGTTAACAGCCTTTGATTCCATAAATTTCCTTTTATGCTTTATTCCTGGTCAGAAATGCAAAGACTCACATATGAGGATATTTATCACAATACAATTTGAACAGCCAAATTGTTGAACAGTTTGTGATACATACTTACGATGGAACATCATGCAGAAATTAAAACATTTTTAGATGTTTTTGATAAAATTTAAATGACATGTGAAAATGCTCATAATTTAATGTTATACCATATGACCTCAACTCCATAAAAATATATTCATATGCCTTAAAAAAAAAAACTGTAGAGAAACATAGCAAATCAGTATTAACCATGGTTGTCTCTGGGTGATGAGAGTATAGATAGTTTTATTTGATACGATTTCATTTCTATATGATCCAGTTTTCTATAATAAGTATATATTACTTTTATAGTCAAAAAAGGCATTAGAAATAAGTATACATGCTCTTAATTGTGAAATGAGTTGCCATGGAAAAGAGCATTAAAAAAATGGAAAAAAAGAACAGTGTGGGAAGTGCCCAGTAACAGAGAAGAAAATAATTAGGGAAAATTGCTGGGGACATTATGTATAGCTTCTGATGTCTATATCCAAAACACAAAATATGGGCAACAAACAAAGCCAGTTTGGGTTTTTAGAATAGGGAAGTGACTATGACCTCAGTATCACTGGAATTTGGGGATTCAAAGATATGACTATGGAGAGCACAGGCTCTATGTTCCATGGACCATAACACTACATTGTTATGTCTCACTCTGTTGTTTGCGGTCCTTCAACATTACAAAGCCTCACAGTGCCTGCCTCAGGGCCTTTGCACTGGTGCTATGTTACCCCTGCTTCAAAAGTCTCCTCTCCATCCTCCTCTCCCTCACCTCTTTCAAGTCTTTGATCAAATGCCAGTTTCTTATGAGCCCATCTGACTCCGCTCCGTCTGGTCTATGGGGTACAGGGCTTTCGTCAGCAAATTGGCTGAATGTCTATGAAAGTACAGATAGTTCCTACCACATTTTCCCATGCCTGACTAAATGAAAGAAAGTTATTTTGATATGATTCAGACATATAACGGAATATTATCCAGCCTTAAAAAAGAAGGAAATTCCAACACAGGCTACAACATGGAAGGGTGAATCTTGGAGACATGATACTAAGTGAAATAAGCCAGTCATAAAAGGACAAATGTTGCATGCTTCCACTTACACCAGGACCTAGAGTCATCATATTCATATGGACAGAAAGTAGAAGGGTGGTTGCCAGGGGCTGGGAGCTGGGGAGGGAATGGGGAGTTATTTAATGAGTTTTAGTTTGGGGAGATGAGAAGTTCGGGAGCTGGATGGTGGAGATGGTTGTCCAACAAGGTGAATATTCTCAATGCCACCAAACTGTACACTGAAAGTGGTCACAGTGGTAAATCTATTACGTATATTTGATTATAATGAAAAAAAAGTCTTGCCAATATTTTGCAAATTAATGGTACCTGCGTATTTCTACTCTTCTCCCCTCTACAAAATATTCAAGATAGTTTTGGATGGGTTGCTTCAAGGTAAAGGATTGATATACAAAAGTGGTGCTTTTTTTGAGTACTTATGTATTTTAAATTATTCAGGAACATAAAGCTCTATTATGTATATTTTGGCTTAAACATAAATTGATCATGCTTGGTAGATCACATTGACATTCTTTTATCTCCAGACAATAATTACATACTTAGTGATTAGATGATGCCCTCAGATATACTCTTGGTTAAAAATAGAGACATTTAAGGGACTGAATATCTTTTGTTTTATTTCATTTTCTGCAAGTTTATGAGAAGTGGAAAAAATGTATTAGAAGATCTCTCAACATCACAGCGGCAGCCAGGCCGACTTGGCTGGAAGCTGACGTGATGCCTCATTAATTACTAACAGGTTGGCTGCCTAGATTCTGAATTTCTGCCCCCATCCTGTTTCTGTCTTTTTAACTGGCCCCTCTTTCACGGTTCTTGCTCTTGTCCCTCACAGATGTGGGGTGCTCCCAAGGCTCTCAGTTCTTACTGCTGGATTTCACTTTATTTCCTGCTCTCGCAGCTTTCCAAGTAAGCCAGGGGGCCCCTTCCTCTCGCCAGTAACCTCCCCAGGTCTGGGTCTCACCCTGCTCCTGAGCATGGGAGGAAGAGAGTCCCTTTTCTAGGGGACACATGTTCCCGATCCTGCCTGCCCAGACTCCTGTAAGTGCCTAACACTTCTCTCTGCCCACTCCTGGGTCTTGACTCTACCAGGGCTCAGAGGCGGCTGGACTGCTGGGCTCTGTGCCTAACTGGAGAGGCTCCCAACTGGACCAGTCCGTCCCCTGCCTCCCAGCCAGACCTCTCCTCCCAGTGCCCCTGTGCTTCGGTGTCCACTGCCAGGGTCCCCTTGCCGGCACCGTCCTGGGGCTTGTAACCCTCCACGTCCCAAGAGCTTCTGGGATAGGAGACATGCTGAGCCACAGGGTAGGGGTGATGGTGAGGCACTGGGAACTGGGGACAGGGACCCCAGGCAGGGACGAAGTTCTGCAGAGGCAGGAGGGAGACGGGATGGGATGTGTGTTTGCCTCCAAGTCTCATTCCAGTGGAAGCCTGGGGCCCTGTCTTGAATTTCTTACGCACGATTAAACTTAGCTCAGGCGTGTGGTATATGCTCAATAAATACCAATTTAAAATCTTTGAAGGCAGTATCATCCCTTCAGAGAACTGGCTCAGCACTGGACCATTTGCCTAATAGTTTCTGCGGATGATTTCATTTAGTTTTCAAGACAACACTCTGAAGCAGGCAGGATTCTCATCCCTATCAGCTGAGGAAACTGAGGCGCAAATAACTCGCCCAAGACCACCCAGTGAAAGAAGAGAATTCAATCTGAGGCCGAAGGCTGCCCCTTGGTACCACACAGCCTCCTCTCTGGCGAAGAGAATGGACCTACCAGCCCAGCAACCACATTCCCTGCCACGACCACAGCCCAGGCTGCTGGCTTATGGTTCCGAGTGTTCAGAAGGGAAGGGAGACGAGAACAGAGGAGTCCTCGCATTCATTCACTTCTTTTTTCAATAAACTGCGTGGAGGTCCTGGGCCGGGCATGGGTCTGAGCCTGTCTGGTTCATATCTTTGCATTTCTTTCCTCCTCCAGGCCCCCACCCTGTCTCAGCCTTCTTTGCCTGGTCAATAAATGAAGGCTTTGCCTTCAAGACTCAGCCCAGATATGCTATCGTCCAGGAAGGACCTCGCCTTGCTCGTTGCAATTGGCACATGGTTAGGACTCCAGAAATGTGTGTTTTGACTGAAGGTGTCCCTTGCAATTTCATGCTCCAGCCCGGCCTCCAGCTCCAGTGTTTGAAGTTGCTGGTATTTAGGGATCGAAGGGCAAGTTCATACGTCAGGAGTTTTGTGGGGGATGATTTTTAAAATACTGTGCAAGTATATCCTGCTTTACATCATCGATTTATTTTAGAAAGGTTATGGGTACAAGAACTTTTTATGAATTGAAATCCTATTTTCTCATTGATGTATGTTTCAGAGATGACTTACGCTAATCTGCTGTTGAACTTCATTTTTTAGGGGCACTGGGTAGCTCAGTCGGTTAAGCGTCTGCCTTTGGCTCAGGACATGATCCCAGGGTCCTAGGATTGAGCCCCACATTGGACTCTCTGCTCAGCCAGGAGCCTGCTTCTACCTCTCCCTCTGCTGTTCCCCCTGCTTGTGCTCTCGCCTGTTCATTCTCTCTCTCAAAAAAATTACATAAAATCTTTTTAAAAACGACCAAACTTCATTTTTTAAAAATGCTGGGCCCTAATACTTTACAAAACCAAGCTTCTCTCAGGTGAACCCCTCTACAGGACGATAATCCATTCACAACCTCGTAAGTGCACTGAACACCTTCATGTGTAAAAGAACGCTCTTGCAATCCTTTTGCAAAGCATCTTTAATTTATAAATCTTTTATGGTCGGATTTCAGGAGCTCAAATTAATTCTGATTTGTGTATGTATAGTTAAAATCAAAGAGAACTAAATATGTCAAACAAAAGCATGAGCAATTCTCGGCAAACCACCCTCTGGCCACTCCTCCCCCACCCCAAAGCAACCACATTCGACTCCTTTCCGCTCAGCGATTTCCCTGTACTCGCGTGGAGTCAGAGCTGAACCCACAAGCCACAAGGCTTCAGTGAAAGTATTCCTTAAGCTCTGTTAATACTGATGGGCACGGCCTGGCTGAGCCAGCATGAAGTAAGATGGTCCGGTTGTCAGCACACTCAGCAAATGTTGGAAGAACATTCCCATAGGGGGTCTCCAATAAAGGACAGATACCTCTGTCTAATGCCTTGAAGAGCGAGGTCGAGACAGGGTGGGTTACAGTCCCAGGACAAGTGAAGAAAGGCCTGACGAAGGAGGAATAGGGGCAGAAGGTCTCAGACTCCCCAGCACATAATCTTGTCTTACAACATGCTTGGGAGAGGTCCCAATGCCACAGTGCCCATAGCGAGAGCACCAAAAAAATGCCGGTGGTGTTGCTGAATGACCGTATTGTACATCTGAAACTGATATGACACTGTATGTTAATGACACTGGGATTAAAATAAATGTAAGTAAATAAATAAACTGTGAGGTCCAAAAACAGTCCCCAAAAACATAGACACACAAACTTTTTTTTTAATGTAACTTACTTGTGCAGGTTTTTCCATCTGGGTTAAGAGCAAATCCCTTAGGGCACCGGCAAAAGTAGGAGCCGTCCGCATTCACACACTCGTGTTCGCACCTGTGGTTCTCTGAGGCACAGTAGTCCACAGCTGTAAATATTCAAACACAGAGTTGAAGTAGAAACACAAACAGGAAAGCAAATAATTGGATGGAATGGAGATAGTAGCATACTTATACTACATATAAATGAAGATTAATATCTTTGCCCCCCAAACAGTATGGAGAAAAGAGGGATGAACCAAGGCTTCTCCCCTCCAACATCCAAAAAGTAATCAGGGATCTAGAACAGGTAGTTTATAGCAGAAGACAGACTAAAGAACACAGGACCAACTGTATTTAAATGTTAAAGAAATGCAAATCAGGGGCACCTGGGCGGCTCAGTCAGTTAAGCATCTGAGGTCTCAGGTCAAGATTCCAGAGTCCCAGGATAGAGTTGGGCTTTGGGAATCCCTGCTCAGCAGGGTGTCTGCCTCTCCCTCTGACCCTCCCCCTCTTGTTCTCTCTCTCTCTCTCACTCCCTCTCTCTATAAAGAAATAAAATCTTAAACAAACAAACAAAAAAAGAAATGCAAGTCAAAACCATCACAAGGCTTACAATACTTACAACTATTAAATGGCACAAATAAAGACAGAACAAAACCCAACAGCGGCAAGGTAGCCCGGGAAGAGAGTCAGAGCTATTCATGGTGGTGGCATCATAAATTGACAGAAGTCCTTTGCGAAGGACATTTGGCCATGTTCATTGTGGAAATGTGACCCAAAGAAATCATTAAGAAAAGGGGGAGAGAAACTATATGAAATAAGCTGTTTATAGCAGCATTATTTATTGTGACAAGAAAAATCTGGAAAATAAGATGAACATTTAATAATGGTAAATGCTTTAGTAAATTATGAGACGATGTTTTGTCCTAATTCTCATTAATTCTATAAATGTTTACTGAATACCTACCTCAGGCCTGGCCCTGTTTTAGGGGCAAAGGATAGAGCAAAAAAACAAAAGACACCGATGCCAGTCCTCATGGGGCTCACATTTGGATGATGGAGGTAGTGGTCAAAAAATAAAGTAAATAAGTAAATCAGATCGTCTTGTAGAAGGTGGAGAGTATTCTGGGGAAAAGAAATAGAGCCTGTGGGAGGCGGGAAGGATAGTGGAAGTTAATAGAAGTGGCCAGGAGAGGCCTCAGGAGAAGGAGGCAGCGGGGTAGAGTCTTGAATGAGGAATGAACCAAGCAGATAACTGGGAGGGAACAAGCACTGGGGCAAAAGGAACAGCAAGCACGAAGGTCAGGAGGTGGGCATCTGCCTGGTGTACTGAAGGACCCGCAGGGAGGCCAATGTGGCTGGAGCAGAGACAGGTGGGAGGTGAGGACGAGCGCATCGGGAAGCACTGAGGCCCACTGTGATGACTTTGGTTTTTACTCTGAGTAAGTAGGGAGTCCCTGGAAGGTTCTGAACACAGGAATGGAGAACAGACCACAGACAGCAAGTATGACAGTAGAAAACCAGTTAGAAGGCTATAGTCATCCCAGTGAGGAACAGTGGAGGCTGGAAGTAGGATGGTGTGGGACAGGGGTGGGGGGGGAGACAGCAGAGGCATGTTCTGGGTCTTCTGGGCTAACCATGCTCCCCAAAAAGATAGGTTGAAGTCCTCACCCTGGTACCTGTGAATGTGATCTTCTTTGGAAATAGGGTCTTTGCTGATACAATGGAGTGGCAATGAGGTCCTATGGGTGGGCCCTAACCCAATATGGATGGTGCCCTTATAGGGAGAGAAGAATGCTACAGGAAGACATGGACACACAGGGAGAACACCACGCGAGGATGGCTGCTGGAGTGATGTGGCCGCAGGCTGAGGAATGCCACGGGTCAACAGTCACTGCCAGAACAAAGGAGGATTTCCCCTCCAAGTTCCAGGGGGAGCACGGCCCTGCCAGCCCCTCGGCTTCAGGTTTCTAGCCCAGAACTAGGAGGCAATACCTTTCTATTGAGTTCAGTCACCCAGTTTGTGGTCTGTTGTGATGGTGGCCCTAGGAAGCCAATACACCAGGTATAAGTTGAGGTGGGGACAGTGGGTGGTCCTGCTGGAATAGAGGTGGGAAGGAGCGAAAGAGAGGGAGGAAGTCTGACTTGGGGGATCTGGTGTGAGGCTGGAGCTGCTGTCATCCGGTGGGGGGAGATACAGCGGGTTTTGTGGGAGAAGATCAGGAGTTCCATTTGGGGCACTAGATAGTTATCAATAGTCTCATCCTAATATAATTGTAAATAGGAAGACAGATATAATTTGGTGAAAAAAGTAGATCTAAAAATGGAATATTTACAGGGATTACACCCAGGTGAAATAGAGCTTCTAGGTATGTCTAAAGCCTGGAAATCAGAAATAAAAATTCTTGCAGTGTTTAGGTGGTAGAATTATGGATGATTTGTTTTTCCTTTTAAAAATATTTCCTTTGGGGCCTGGGTGGCTCAGCTGGGTAAGCATTTGATTCTTGGTTTGGATCAGGTTGTGTTCCCAGGGTCATGAGATGAAGCCCCCACGTCCAGCTCTGCATGCACTCAGTACAGAGTCTGCTTAAGTTTCTCTCTCTCTCTCTCTCTCTCCCTTGGCCCCTCCCCACCTTTCCAAATAAATAAATAAATAAATAAATTCTAAAAAAAGCATTTCCCAAATAGTAAATTTTGGATTTTTTAGAATGTTGCTTTTTGTTTTTTTAAAAAAACTTTTGTAATGAAATTTTGTATATTTAAAAAAAAGCATTTCCCTCTATAATATTTTAGGATATTCCAGTATCAAAAACTTAGAAATAATAAAAAGGAAATAGGATCCACAATTAATACACGTGTGATTTGCAAACCAAAACCTCTCACTGGGAGGATAATGGCATACTTAACATAGTAATCAAAATATGCAAAGGAAAAATCTACAGACTTTTAAAGGCTGTGTTGTGCTTATCCTTTTACTTCCAGGCTTTGTTAAGTTTCTGTCTAAAGTATCATTTTTGTGACTTTGCCTCCCTAAAGAGTTCTAACAGCACCTATTATTTGAGGGTTTAATACACAAGTCATTGTGGGAACAGGACATTCACATAGTTGCAGGATCTGCGTGTCATGGGACCTAAGCCAGTTGCTGGAGTGGAGTCATACCATAAATAGTGATCTAGCACCAGATTCTTCTAAAAGCTAATGTCTCATTATTTAAGAACCATTGTAACATTGCGCAAATAGTCGCGGAAACAGAGGACCCTGAGACCAAGCCCTGGCATGGGTCCCAGTCTGCAGGTCACAGGAGCGGGCCATGCTGTGGCCCACACTGACCTGTGTTGGCAGTGGGCACTTCCCACCTCCGACCTCCCCATGCTGGGCCTCATCTGCCTTCTTAAAAATCTCCCAACCACTGACAAGGGGCACCTGCTTGTCAGCTTGACCAACCTCAGGCCACTTTTTAGTGTCCCCACCGAAGAGAAGAGCTGCTCCTCTGATTTCCAGGTTCCAGGACGGTGACAATACCACAATGATGAATGGAACGCTATCTATATCTAAAGTCAGAAACTCAAATTCTCCCTCTCTCTTGAAACTTCCTCTTACACACCATGAGGTATAATTTCTGAGCCCAGCCAGCTCTGTCCCTGAGAGAGACACCAGAGTATGCTGGCCCCTTATTAGAGTGAGGACAGATTGGAGGTTTTGCTTAGCCTAAAATCTGGGCCCTATACTCCAAACTTGTATTTTTCCAGAATGCTCTAGAACATTCAGTGTTGGATCAGGCGGTTAACAGAGTTGTACAGAAGAAGCTCTTTCAACTGACCTCCACTTACCCAATGCCTGATCAATCAATGCTTTTCATTCCCTCTGGGAATATGGGACCTGATGCCCAGAGCATACAAAATGCTCCAGGCTTTTGGAACACCTGTGTTTCTAAATAGCTGTGGCTGAGCTGTGCGGTTATAAAGCAGCTGTGGTGGAACACCCGTGCTCCAGAACACCTGTGTACTTTCCTTATTGACTGACTGCATGCTTGTAAAGTTTTTGTTCTCAAAACGTGGTTGTGAACCAGCTGCAAAAATCATCATTTGAGACCATGTCAGTCATGCAAATACTCAGATCCCACTACAGACTTAGTGTATCAGAAACTGGGTATAGGACCCAAGAATCTGTGTTTTAACAAGCCCTCCAGATGATTCTCATGCATGTTAAAATTTGAGAACCACTGCCAAAAAGAGCCAAAATTGGTTTTGTTCCCAAGCCTATATATGCCATTTATATATGTTATTGTAAATAATTATAAATACTATAAAAACCAATTAAATATAGTCATTAAAACAAATTGAGCTTTTAAAAAAAAACAAAAACTAAATTGAAAGCTTTGGAAAGAACTAATTAAAGCAATTTGCTAACCAAAATTGCGTGGAAGCAGGCATGGATAAAACATGTAAAAGATTGGGAAATTTTCGTGAAAATTTACAAGGATTCTGCCCTTAGACTAGTTTACAGAAGTCTTCCAATTCTTGCTCCAATTTAAGGAAACCAAAGTTGAAAATTGTGGACAGTACATTATGGACATGATTTATGTAAGAAAAAAAATTTTAATCATAGATTTTAGAAATGGACTTCAAATTAGTACTTTTTAAAAGTGTAATTAAAGGTAATTTTTATTAAAAGTACATTTATGTGTTTTCAATAAAAACAAAAAGGTTAGGATAGGTTTGGATATGTGGTTTTTTAATGATTCCACTCTTTGAAAGACACTTTCCATCAATCGGCCAACCACAGGCTCAAGCTCATGGCTTCTCCTGGTCTTTGATTCTCTTGCTGGTTTTGGTTTTTGTGCGCTCAGCAATCTGGGGAACTGAAGGGGGTAGGGGAGGTTGGCAAGGTGGGAGTCAAGCATTCCTGGGCCTCAAGACCCTGGCCTGTAAAACCACAAGGTGTCCAATCCCCACCTTGGCTTGAGGGCCACTCACTGGCTTTCTGCCAGGCTGCTGGGGACAGCAGAAGAGGCCATTAGGACAACATCAGATGTGGAGGAGCCCACTTCAAGGATATGAACCTCAAAGCTTTTTAAGACCAAGAGAGTTCCAGTCCATTCAACTCT